GCATTTATTCCAGGTACTGGGCTAAGCACACAGAGAATACGAGACTCAGAAAAGTAAATGTGAGCACTGGGGAGGTGTGCCAAGAGCTGATACAATTAATTTTGAGGGGAGGAAAATAGGCTTTAGATTCAAGTTATAAATTCTGGTTTATATTTACTCACCAGGTGATCAAAGTTAAGAAGTATTGTCTCAAACTAAAATCTTAGAATTATGACTATAGCATTAAGACTGGGGGTTAGAGGAGGCACTGATGGGCTATGATGGAGAACTATGGGTGCCTTGGTGATAGGTGTGGACAATAAATTTGAATTAAAAAATTTTCTCATTTGCCAATAAAAATATGAGACTTTGAATCATGTAGGTAAGTTGTTTATAGACTGACACAAATGTGTAATTATATAGATGAAAGCACCTTTTACTTAGATGGCATTCAAGAAATACTGGGTGCTTCTCTCCCTGCTTCTTCAGACATCATTAGAAGGGAACGGATCAGGGACAGAATTGTTCCATTCCATGCAAACTGGACACAATCGATACCCTGTTGAGTTCTATGTTCTAATTTCTTAAGATTTAGAAATTCTCTCTATTGCAACCCAAGCAGGAGAAGCTGGAATGAATAATTGCCCAGTTTCCCTTCACTTCCATAAATATCAAAATATTAGAAGAATATAAATGAGTTCCCTACACCATAAGGTCATAAGTGTAGTACAGTATTCCTGCTCTGTTTAAAGAACATAAGCATAAAATCTCATCAAGTCAAAAGTGCACAGAAATTAGTAGCTTATTTCTAGGGGTAAAGCCATACATTTTACAGCTAAAGAAAGTTTTTCTATATGCAACATAATAAAAAAAAAAGGAGTACAAATGTTAAAATAATTACATTATGAAAATAAATTTTAAATCTAATCCTGAATAGAGGTTCAATAGATGTAATTTGGTTGGTGAAATAGTCAATTTTAAAGACATCTTTTTAAAAATTGACAATACATGATTTCTCCCCTCATGTGAGGTCTCCCACATTCAGAGCACTCATAGTCAATCAGCATATTGCCTTGTACTCTGTCTCCACCCCTCATGGATCCTTCATGTCAATGGTAAGTTTTATAGGTTTGTAAAGACAACTTCTTAAATGTGACTCCATTCTTTAAGGAAAAGCAAAAAGACAATTCCAAAGCAATGGCTTTTGAGCTTCCTTTTTGTCAATGATTTGATTTTACATTTTTTTAGAAGGTTTTCATGACTGGAAGAATAAGATGGTAAGAACTCCCCATGAATAAGACTGAAAAGTTTACATATTTACAAATGGGAATTGGGCTCCTTTAAAAAAAAAATCAAGTTGGGTCTGTCATGTTTTATTTAAATATTTGGATTAAATTTGAGTATCCTTCAGAGATGGGACAATTTTTACCAACTTGTGTCCATAATTTATTTTTAAGGGGACTTAATGTTAAGTCACTTATGCATGAAACTCAAAGGGAGTAATTGAGAGGAGCTCCTAAAGTTTTAGGTGAAGGGGGTTCCTCTGCTGTGTGTCACTCTGTGCTTGCTAGTAGCTAAGGGAGATACATGAGGGACACAACAATCTCATCATTTGACAAAAGGAAACTCTGCCCCATTTTGTTGTCATAAAGAGCACCAAACATATGGATAATGACAAATTTGTTTCAAAGAGCTCCAGATGATTCCTTCATTTGACTAATTTCTTTAAAAAAGCCAAGCCATGACATTAAATGGTAATTCAGTGGAGATATTTCTGCTGTCAGATAGGCAAGTGAAAGAGATCCTTGGCTTTTTCATAAGAGAGGGGTATCTTTACCTAACTGGACACAAGTTCTGCAGGGAAGCGACAGATGCTTGGTGCCATCATGAGAGATTCACTGGCAGAACCGCATGAATATGAAATAAGTGGTAACACAGCCTGGGCACAGAAGACATTGTTTTTATGTTCTATATTCTTGCTTGCTTTACTGAAGTCATTTCTTTCAATAACCAATCAAAGCTCTCAATAGAAATCTAGGCTGAAATGTCTGACAGCTGGCTAAGGATCCATTATTCTACATTTGTTGAGAGGTGGAGTGTTTCACCCCAAGGATGCACTATCCTACACATAGCAGACAGAACTTAACTGAGAAAACTTAGCTTTCGGGTCAGTGTGTAGGACGTAGCCAGGACTTCTGACTACATTTAGTTTCAGGGGACATACAAGCAGCACTATAAAGTGTGTATATCCCTGGTATATATTCCAATATGGCAACACCCACACATATACACACACATGCATATATTTTAATGACGAAATTATTTAAGCACTAACTTAAAGTCAGGTAAGAGACAATTACCAATCAATGCCGTCCCGTTCTGTCTCCACACACTTACCTTGCAATTGCAAGAGTTTCGAGGCACAGAATTGTTGTTAAGCACTTGTCCTATCACCTTCTTCCTAGGGTTTTAAATCACTGGCCATTTGTTTATAGAGCCCCACTTGCCCAACCTTATTCTTGATTCTGAATACTTAAAAAAGAACATGCAATAAACCACATGTTCTGGCAAAAGAGTATCATGCTGACTTTTGCAGTCGCAAACTCCAGAAGAGATTATTCAGAGAAATCTCTGGAAGCTGACAAGCTTATAAAAGAAATCCCAATAAAAATTTCTGCATTCTGCATATATAACAAAATTACAGCATGTCACTTGCTCTATAAATTGTCACTATTACTACTTGGAGCAGAAGGAAATGTACATATATAAAGATATATGTGCATAATTTCATATTCCCGGAGGAAACTGAAAAATTATGTGCATTAAATAGTGTTTTAATTGCAACATGAAAAACTACATTTAAGCACTGGTTCATGATCTCACAAGGGTAAAGTCAAATGTAAATGCTGCCTAGTAATGGGGGAAGAATGGTCTTTGGAGGCATCCAGACCTGGGTGCCAATTCTAACTACCACTAGCTGAGCCCTCTATTCTCCGAGGTGTAGTTTCCCTGTAAAAAATAGATATATTAAATATCTATTTTTCAGAGTTGTGGGAATTAAAGGAGAATATGCCGCTTGCTATTTTTATTGTCAAATTGTTAAATCAATTAGAAAACTACAGATAGAGACTTGATAGTTCCTCTGTGGCTTACTTAACAACCAGCATTATTAAGATCATGCACTATCTGGTTAGATTTAAGGCTGAAATTCAATATACCTATTTTCAGCCCTCAAATTCTATGATTAACTGAGTAGAAATGAGAGAAGGATGTAAAATTACTCTGCAGGTCAATTTTAGAAAACTACTCTAGAATATATGAGGAACAATATTTCGGCTTGGTAGAGCATTTTTTTAATCTGCTTTCTGATAAATCTATATTCTTTGTCTATACTCGTAAATAATATGCAGTAGGTCCTATAAAGTTTGCTGTACAGAGCAGAGGCTCTGTGCTCTTATGTCATTACCTTGTACTTCTGATATTTTCATTTGCTGTGCCTTCGTGTGTCTACTCCAGCTCTTGGTTTACTCTTTACCCTGGGAAAAACCTGAGATTTGCTTGGGGAGCTAAGACTGCCCTTCTTGCTTTAGCACTGGGTTGAGCACAGTAAGTTCCAGTCGCTGCCTAGATTTGAGCTGCAAAGTCACCAAACGCCTCATAGACTTTCAGGTGTTACCACTAAAAATGCATTTTGTGGGGAAAGATTTTATCTTTTCTACCAACTGAATTTCCATTCTCACTTAGACTTCAAGTTTACCATGTAGAGATGGTGAGAATTCTATTTCCTGAAACTGCAGGTCTGCTCAATCACAGCTTAATGCATTCACATGTCATCCCACATACACTACGATGAGGCTTCAATCTGCTGCAACCAGACTGTCTTCCTGGTCAGGTGAAGGGGAAGTGAACCCTGCAGGGCTTTCAGCTCTACCCCTCTGTTCTTCTGTGCCCTAGGGACTTGAGCTATAAAGACTACTTAGTTCCCTTTTCTACTGGCTTCCAGTTCAATTTGGCTAACAGAAGGATCTGGAAGACAGGGTTCCCTGACTTATCCCCTGCCCAGTTGTCATCAAATCCTTCAGCTCCTATCAGGCAGCTGACTCCACAGCTACCATCTCCGGGTCTCCTCTTGTCCTTAAGCATGGGGGATAGAAATGGCTCTTCCCTGTTGCTATCTCGGGAGCCTAGTACTTTTGCTTGCTGACTTCCCTGACTAGCCCCCATCATTGTAAACAAACACTTACAGAACTAGTAAACAGACAAATGATACCGCTTGGTTCCTGCCATGACCCTGAGCTTTCAATCTCAAGACACCGGGAAAAGTGCCACTCAGGACCAAAGGGCATGGCTTGTTACAGCAGAGGCTATTATAGCAATAGCCGTAGTGAATAAATAGCAAAGTAATAGAATTGCTACTCTTGGTTTATAGGAAACCAACAAATGGATGTATGCCATAAAACAATCAAGGTAAGAATGAAGACTTTAGAAAAAAAATGAAAAAATTTTCCCCAGAAGTCAAATGTAACAGAAGGATATTTTATAATCACATGAAAATACCACAAGCCTACCAAAATTCAGGGGGGTTTTGGCCCTACCATCATTGAAGAATACCATTAAGTGGAGACAGGCAAGATACTGAACTTCAATTTAAAAGCTGAGAAAAAAAATACATATTGATATGAACATAGCACTGCGGTCCACAAAAGCTTGAGTATACTCAAGGCTATAACATCTTGCATTATAGTACCTATAAATATCTGCACAGAGATCTGAGTTTATTTAAATAAGTTCACGGAAAATGTTTTGCCCTATCGTTTCATTCCTCTGATCTTGTCTTCCAAGGAGCCTGAGATCTTCACATGACAATGGGATTCTCGCTTTAATTAAAAATCTTCCCCTGAACTGTCCTCTGATTATGACTCCTGTACGGCCCCAACCCTTCCTATGAGGACAGTGTTCTCAGAATCCTCATTTGCCCAGAGGAACCCTTTTCTTCCCCTCTCAAATGTAATCGTACTCACTGTTCTTAATCTTCTTTCCTCCTTCTCTTCCACTCCCTGCTATTCTCTCAAGGACACCTGGATGGGGAAAAAAAATTGTTCAGCTTGAAATGTACATTGCGATCTCATCCATATTCTGTACCAATTTCCAGAACATAAAATGCCTTTCTGGCAGAGAGTGTTCTAGGATAATTCCTAAAATAGTCCCCTTCACCCTGTGCTTAAAATAAAGCACACCTTGAATGTACTTTTTAAAACAGTGGCATCACACAACTGAAATCAAGAGGCCAAAAATGGGATTCCTCTCTTTCCTACTTGTTTTTGATGAACACAGATTCCCTCGACTGGAAGTATCTGTGAGGAAAGACCAGCTCTGGAATTTGGTAAGGGTGGCATCTGGAAAGTGAAGCACGGATGACCCCAGAGTCAGAGGAAGCCAGAATGTGGATCTCTCATTGGGAATGGCACGGATGACGTCTAGGCTACCACCTTACACAGTGGGTAATAACCATGCACAGAGCCTGTGCTTCAGGGCTTATCACCTCATTGGCCTTCCCTTCCGCCCCCCCACCATGGGTCTATGGCTTCCCTCTACCCTTTGCACTCAGAAGTAATCTTTGAGTAAATGGCGGTAAAAGGTCAACTTCGTCCATTCATTCAGTTTGCAAAGTCCATTCCCCTGACTGAGGCAAACAGATTTGCAGTTACCCCAACTCCTGGCTGTACCGTCTTCAATCAGGATACTCACTATACCCCATGACTCAGCTTCAAAGAACTTTCCCATCTAAAATTAATTAATCCTCCCCATAGCCCTGTGACATAAGGCAGTGTGCTCATCTGCAGGTTGCAAGGAGGAAACTGGGGATGAGGTTATAGGTTGTGCCAAAGGTTATTAAGGTTGTCTGCAGGGGAATAAAATCATAATGCAGTAATCCAGGTTCAGTCTCTCCACCCACTCCAGAATCCAGACCTTTCCCCAGGCTTTGACCATTTTATAATTCCCTAGGCTTCTGTGAAGATATGGACAGAGTCTACACATGAGTCTTTACTAGTAAAAGAAGTATTATGATTTGTTCCTGCTAGATATTTAGTTGTCTTTCCCACAACAACTCAGTATTAGAAGTCATCTCTGTCAAATCTCCAGTCATGATCCCTTGTTAGGTTGATTCAGTAACTTGCAATTCTATGAGATGCAAAGTAGTTTACCCTCATCTTCAGAGGCACAAGCTGGTGTTCAGGGTAACTGCCTGTCCAGACCCATGAACTGGCCAGAACAGAATGAGGGCACAGCCTTGACACCCTCACCTGAACCTTGCTTTTGTAGCTCGCTCCATGTGCCCAGAGCATACATACAGCAAATATTAGACCTTTCTCCCACTGCCAAAGGAAACAGGATTATCTATTTCCAAGAGAGAAGCAAACTTCACCAAATCATGCCATTTTTCCTTTGCTGGTTCCTCCACTTTCTCCTACCTTCACAGGAGGACCTACCCATGGTTTTAGGCTTTTATATTATTTTCATTCACTTTCCTTGGGGCTCACATTCACTCTCACACATTTAACTCCCATTCCTTGATTTCTAAATCACTAGTCCTATCCCTGATCTGAGGAGGCTGGATTGTAAACTGTAATTTTCTGCTATTTTTATATAGTATGAGTCAGAGTAAATGAGTTACTATTCCATTTGGTGAATGACTAGTACTGATAGATGTGAACACTCTAATGCTACAATAATTAAAATAGTGCAGTAGTAGCATACAAGTAGACAGACAAATGAGATATAATCAGACTCAGACACATAGGGGAATTTGTTATATAGTAAAAGTAGCTTCTCAAACCAATGAGTTAAGGATAGACTTTAAGAAAGTGAGTTGGGACAAATATGGCCAGAAATAAAAAAAAGACTTCATACACACCCAATACTATACATACAGACGACAAAGCCATAAAAGTTCCAGACAAGAAAATGTGACAATTGAATGGTATTAGATAATCATAAGGAATTATTGGTGTAATAATACTATAGAGGTTATGTTCTAAAATATCTTTACTTGTTACTGATAGATATATTAATATACTTATAAAGAAATTAATGATATCTAGGCTTTGCTTTAAATATTCTCAAATGAATAGGTAAGATTGGCAAACTCTTACAAATTATTAAAGCTGGCTATTGGGTACATGTGCTACCTTTTACTATTATCTCTCACTTATGTGTACCTAACATTTCCCATAATAAAACAATTTTTAAGTTCTAGAAAAAAATATGGGTGATTACCCTGAAGTTAAGATCTTCTAACTATAATTTAGAACCCAAAATATTTGATTATCAATTATATTAACAATAACTTCTACAAGTTCACCATAAGCAAAGTCAAGAAATAAGGAACAACCTGAGGAGAATATTTTCAATTTATGTCACAAACAATGGGTATTTTTCAATATGGGAAGGACAGCTAGAAATTAATAAGAAAATTATCAGCAACCCAACAGAAAAATTGACAAAGGACATTAAAAGACTTTTCATAGATAAGTGACTCTCAAACATGAGAAAAATTTAAATAGGGGGAAAGCAAATTAAAGCCATGTAACTTCAGGATTTTGACCAGTTTAACAAGTAAAAATGTTTTCTAACACATTCTTTTGAGGAAACCATGGAAAACAGGCATTTTCTAATATTTCCAGTGGGATTATAACCCCTAAGGAGCAAATCAGTATTAAAATTTCAAATGCATTTACCCTTAACACCAAATCTCACTTCTGGGAATTTTTTCCACAGGCAGAGCTGCATGCACGAAGATATACTGCCAAGATGTTCATTGCAGCACTGTTTGCAATACCAAATGATCCAAAAGCACGTAAGTATCCATCAGAGTGTGTATATATATATATAATTATACACAATGTAATATGTAGTCATTAAAAAAAGAATGTTCTCTATATGCAAATGAAAAGACTTCTGGAAGATATGTATGTATGATTAGAGGGATCTATTCATATAATCTTGTACACATAAATATGTCATCATTTGTGTTGAGGTAACAAAATACTGTATTTAGTTATATATGCATAAAAATAGTATGTAGGAAATTAATGAAAATGATGACATGCAGTTGGAAGGTCAGGTGCAAAAAATATAGTGTAAAGGAACAGACCTGGTACCTCTGGGTCTCTTTTTCATCAGAAAAGGACAGAAGTCAGAGGGAGTTGTCTCAGAATGTACTTCATTTTTTTGTTTTGATCCATTTAATAAATTTTTTAACTTATTAAAAAATTTGAAAAAACAGTTCTATTGGCCCCATAGTTTATTTAAACATCTACCATATAATTAAAGGCCACTAACTCTCTTTAATGGTCCAGGAGGTTGGAAAATCCAAAGAACTTTTTTATTTGGCTTTGAAATGTATCAGTTGGATGGCGGTACCAGTCAATTCACCATCCTAATGACATTTTGCAAATTCCATTGGTAAGATCCCCTGAGATATTAGTAGGAACACAGTCTCAGAAGTCTTTAATAAAAGCAGATTAAGAATGTAGATAAGGCAGCTAAATGGCCAGGAAGCATTGCCTTCCTTCAGAATAGAATCATTTATCAAAATATAAATAGTAACTTGAAAAAAAAAGTCTATCCATTCAAGTATATTGTGATTTGTTGACTATTAACAATACACCTCTCTTACCCTATAGGCAAATAGAGCTATTATTTTCAACCCCAAGGAGGATGACCACATGCCAGACCTCAGATTCCATGTTTACAAGGATCTTTCTAAATATGTCAAAGATAATGTTACCTGCCTTTAAAATTGCCATGAAAACTGTCTGCATAAAAATAACATGATATATATAATTTTGACAAATACCAAAAAAAAAAGTTTATATACAGTCATTAGCCCACAATGTTTTACCTGCCCTAAATGAATGATTTCTTAGGTCCTTTGAAATATGAGAACTAGTGCAACAGTGCCCAGGGCCCCATTTGAGTTTCTGAGACCCCAAATTTCACACATTTGAGCAGACAAAGGAGGAGGCTGATCAGGCTCACCTGTAGCCCCAACATGAGGTCTCCATGATAAGTGGGGCTATAACCCATTCCCACCAAAACAGATGCTGTCATTCCTTGTGTTTAGAAAATAAAGGGGGAAGTTCCTGCTATTTGGCTGAGTGACCACCTAAATATTTTTGCCAAGTCTGGGCTGTTTCTCAGCATTTCTGCTTTCTTCATGTTGAATCAAATGCTAAGTTAGTGCAAACACTGGGCAAATTACCTCCCCACTCCTCAATTTCCTCAATGTAGAAAGGAGATAATAAAATGACCTCAGGTGCGTGAGTCAACATGTCTCAAGCACTTAGAATAATGTCTGAGATGATAGGACAAAGTCAGTAATTAGTTACCCACATGTATCACCACAGAGTGTGTTTAAAAAACTCTATGGAGCCAGCTTACCTGTCCTACCTCCTGAGAAGTTAGAGAGTAAATTATCCACCACCATTTTTCTTTGACTAATTAGCATGGTACACATGGAAATTATTTACTTTCATAACTTCCATTTACTAGTGCTGAATGATTTACATAATCCTATAGCTAGGAGGTCCCAGGACTACATTCCTTTCTTTGGCAAATTTGTATGTCTTCTTCCAAAGGCAGTGTTTGTTCATCACATCTTGTCTGAGAAATGACTTCAGGCTAGGGCTCGGCAGAGAATGTCAATCCCTTTCCCCAACCTCTGTGCAAGCACTTGGAACACCAGGCAGCAGAGGAAGACACTGCACACAAAGGAAGAATCAACCAGCCCACGGCTAGTTGGTTCTGAACCCCAAGGAGGTTCAGAAGAGACACCGAGTGCGGTCTATTTACAAATAGGGAAACAGTGATGTCTCCAGGTATTTATAACTGGCAGTTTAAAAGTTTAAACTGTTTGTCTCTCCTTAACACTATCCAAGCAGGAGAACAAAAGTATTTGGGAATGCTGCACCCAGGATGAGACCATTTAGAGCATTCCAAAATGCTCCCCCAAATCATCTGCTCCTAGGGGGGAAAAGATCCATGTCCCTCATAGAAAAATGAGAGAAGAAACATTTTCTTGGCTAACCACTTGAAAATATAGCTTTGCCACGCTTAAAAACTTCAACCATTATTTCTTTCCTTATACTTACCTCATTTAAAATGCACATTTTCATTAATTTCATAAAATGTAATTTATACACTCTAAACAGACTAAAACATCCACAGTTAATACTCCTTTATCTGCAGAGGATACATGCCAGACCCCCAGTGGATGCCTTGAAATCATGACAGTGCTGAACCCAACTATAGGTTTTGTTCCTATACACACCTATGAAAAAGTTCAATTTAAAAATTCAGCACAGGGCCTCCCCGGTGGCGCAGCGGTTGAGCGCTGGGTTGCGAACCTGCCCGCGGCCTCTGCGGCGCCGGTTCGATCCCCGGCTGCTCCCCGGCCACCGGAGGAGGGTCCCGCATGGCGCGCAGACCTCTCCTGCCGCCCGCTGCTCCCCTCAGCAGTGTACTTTGGTCCTTCTGCCTGCTCTGCTCCCCGCTCTGGCTCTGGTGAATTCTCTCACCCTCCCGCGCTTCTGACTGTACCCAGTGCATGTATAAACAAAAAAAACAAACAGATAAATAAATAAATAAACATGCCTCTATTAAAAAAAATAAATAAATAAAATAAAAATTCAGCACAGTAGAGATTAACACCACCAATGAAACAATTATAATAATATACTGGAATAAAGTTTGAGTGTGGTCTCTCTCAAACGTCTTATTGCACAGAATATTTTTGTTTCTCAGTTGACTACAAGTAACTCAAACTGCAGAAAACAAAAGCGAGGTTCAGGGGTGATTATCGTATTTAGTATTCCAGTCAACATTTACAAAGCACCTACTATCTACCAGGAATCCTTACATACACTGCTGTAGCTTCAGGCCCTAAAGTTTCCCACTCTTGGAGGTTTGAACTTCCAAGGATTTGCAAGTGGGTTCCTCCCTGCACATCATGCAGAATAAATTCCTTTTTAAGGTAGTATTTATTGCTAGCTTATAGGTGTCAGGCACCTAACACTAGCAATTCATTTAATTCTCACAAGACCACTGTGAGGTGAGTGCTATTTATCCCTACTTTACAGATGAGGAACTGAAGGTTTAAAGAAAGAGTAACTTACTCAAAGCTATAAAACTAGTAAAGCATGGACAGAATTTAAATTCAGGTCCAATTCTTAACTTTTCCATCTTAATCCCTACACTATACTGCCTTTGAAACTTCCTTGCTCTGATGGACCTATTGGGTGTATAATAGTCTCTTCTGCATTTCCCTTGATTTGCTGTGATTCTCATCTTTCTGTACAATGCCTTTTGAGCATCTAGAAAATGATCACTTTAAAAACAATTGTATCAAGTCATAGGATCATGGCAGAGCCAGCTAAAAAATGACAGCCATTTGTACATAAATATTTAAATATATGCACTCCACTTAGTGTATTATTCAAATTCTGGGCTTACAGAAGAAAGGTTTCCAGAACATACCAGCTGCTTCATTTTGTGCTCTCAATGGTTCTCACCCAAACAAGACTCAAAGGACCCATTTTCCAAATCAGCTTCCTTACATTTACACCTGGTCATTGATGTCATTCGCCTTCTTTTCCGTCAATCCCTGAACTGACTAGGGAGAAACAATTTGAATTCTCTCTCCCTAATTGCTTCCTTTCCTTTTCCCCAAACCTTGCACTTTTCCCCCTTAAGCCACCCTAAGCTAAAATCATAATTCAGTGAAGAGAGTGTGATTAAGCAATTATGAACCGGCTCAGGGAGTAGCTCTAATTGCTAGAATCAGAGAGACTGTCCCGGCCGGCTAGAGGGAGGGCGGGCTGGCCTGGAACACTGGCTCCCTGTCCAGAGGCGGGTGCCAGCAGATGGCAATCGCTGCTGCTGCTTTTCCAGGTTAATGTGAGATTGTTCAGGTTTGGAGTTTCAAACCCTAATTGTTTTCTTCAATGATATCTTTAATCGACCTGCCGAAAAATTCTTATTTTTGATCCCCAAATGCCCCACAAGTCCATGCAACCGGTCAGAGACCATGGCATCAGTCCTTCAAAGGGAAAGAGTGTGTGAGGAAAGGAAAGCCCCTGCTGCCTGTTCTTGCCATGCTCAAGCTCCCTGCAGGCAGGAGTAATCTGTCATCTCCAACCAAGGGTGTGGCACGGAGCAGAGGCCCAGGTGTTTGCTGAATACTGTAGAAAGCAGGTGTGAAAGTAAAGTCACATTTTTCTGTAAGGAGCCTTTTATGGAACAGTGGATTAAAGAAAAAGATTACTTGCATGGGAGATGTGCACAGCACACACTACACAGAAATGAGTTCTGAAAAGACAGATGTTTGTGAGTGTTGTCACCTGGCTGATGCTCAGGACATGCTTATGGCAGTGATGACCTGACTTCTCACCATTAGAACAGTCACTGGCTAGACGTCTTTATGAGAAAGAGGGAAAAGAGAAGTATCAAACTGACATGGAATTAGGAGCGTCCATGAGGAAAACATCAGCAATAGCAAAAGTCAACATTCAAACAAGCTTGATTTGGTTATGAAATCCTTCAAGGAAAATTCCAGGGTCCCAGAAATCCAATACCTTAGTAAGATCTACTAGGGGGAGAAAAAGCTGCCCCAAGAATTCCTTTGGGTTCACTGGGCCTGCAGGGAAGAGCTAAGGAAACATGGCAGTGTTACACACAGGAAGCCTAGTCACACACTGGTGAACTTGCCCCATGCATGTGGCTTCCCTGTGTACGGATAGCTACACTGAGCACTAGGTTAAAAATGTCATGGGTTGGCATCATCAATCCAAA